GCCACTCACGCCATCAGGAGACGGTGCGTGGCCTGCCGCAGAGAAGGGCAGACGGCGCCCAGATACCTGCTCGGTGACCCCATGCCCTTGTGTCATGTCCAAGCCAGAAACCCCCACCCTAAGGACAGATGTCACCGTAGGGCACTGCCAGAGCTGGGAGCCTGCCCTGGGGCAGCCAGGGAAGGGGTCGCCTGGCAGGCGGGCCGAGGGCTGAGCCTGCCTCCTGTCCCCAGGGGAGCGGATCCTGGCCAGCGGCTCTGTCCAGCTTCCACGCTTCACGCTCCTGGAGTCGGGCAGCCTGCTCGTCAGCCCCACGCACATCTCCGACGCCGGGACCTACACCTGCCTGGCCACCAACTCGAGGGGCGTCGACGAGGCCTCGGCAGACCTGGTCGTGTGGGGTGAGTGTGCAGAGCCGAGGGCTGTGCACATCTGTCCACGCGTGCACACGGGTGCTGGGGACATGGAGCGTCTTCGTGCACACGCTCGCACGGCCGGCATCGCCACATGTGACACCTATCTTAGTCCAGGCTCACGTTCTCCCAGGGACAGTGACAGATTAATTCAGAGGCTGGCCAGGGGTCAGGAAGGGGGAGGTTCTACCAGTAAGGCGCTGTGACCCCATGTTCACACCACGCTTGGCGGAGCTGAGAACATCGAGATGACCAAAGAGCTGTCGTCATAGACTTAGGGTGGAAACTGGCAAGTTTCCGTCAAGGGCCGGAGAGTAGATATTTTAGGCTTCGTGGGCCAGACAGTTCCTGGCACAGCGGCTCCGTCAGCTCCCGTCCTATTGAACACGCAGCCGTAGACGAGACGTCGGCCCGTGGTGTGGCTGGACCCCGTGGTATCTGCCCAGACAGGCCACGGCCAGTTAAGCCCCTGCTCCCCGGGGACTCGAGCCCCTTCCAACATGGGACCCCTCATCCCCAAGACGCACAGACAGGGCCTGTCTGGGCTGAGCCAAGGGGCCTGGGCAGGGTGGAAGGGCAGAACACTGGGCTGTGAGCAGGGGCCCCCTTCACACCCCGCTGGACCACTGAGATGCTGGCAATATGGCCTGGTGCTCTTGCCCTCAGACTTCCGTTTCTATCCCCTTACACGGATTGGTAAGAGTAAAATATTTGGGTCCACAGTGTAAGTGTGGCTCCGGTGACTGGTCTGGGACTGCCACCCTGGCAGCCCTCGGGCTGAGTCACCTGAGGGTGTGTCCCTCCCACTCACCCACCTGACTCCAGTGGCTCTGGGCCGCATCCCTCTCACCACGCTCTCCACCGTGTCTTCCAGCCCGGACCCGCATCACCAGGCCCCCCCAGGACCAGAATGTCATCAAGGGCACCCAGGCCTCCATGGTGTGCGGAGCGACCCACGACCCCCGCGTGACTGTCAGGTACTCCCTCTACGGTGGCCGGGCTCCAGGCCAGAGAGGGGAGGGTTGTCATGGGCCAGTGTCAGGAGCAGGGAAGTAGGTGTCCCTGGAGGCCAAGCCCTGCCTGAGATGCAGGACACTAAACAAACCCTTGGGGACCAGGTGTCTTGCATTGGATCAGGCAGCTGTGGGGAGGAGAGGGGCACCGGGGAGGGGGAGGGGACAGGGACAGAACGAGGCACCTGGGTCAGAGGAGGTGGAAGCCCGCAGGGGCTCACTGAGGCCCAGACACGCTACTAGCGTGTCCCCACACCACCCCGAGTCTCAGACCCTCTGCCACCCGGCAGTCAGCAGAGGGTCTGTAAGGGCCATGGGCCAGGTAGGGCTGGGGCAGCAGAGGACTCCCCTAGGAGGGCCTCTTCCCACCATGGGGAAGCTGGTCCTGGGCAAGGAACGGGGCCTCTCGGGAACTCACCGGAAGCCTCTGGAGAGTCTGGGCACATAGCCAGGCCCCAGAACCAGGAAAGTCATGAAGGCCAGGCCCTCCCAAGCCTTGAAGAGGACACCTGGGCCACCCCACAGGGAGGGCTTCTGGGAACTAAAACTGGGAGGAAATCGCCCCGTCCCTCTCCAAGGGAAATCCTCCCTTTCCTTGAGCTTCAGGTGGTGAGGGAAATGCGACTGCTTCCTTAGAAGTACACATTCCCACGTCTACACTATCCCGTGAGCGGTATTCCTGTCCAAGCAACTGGCTCCGGGAGGGCAGAGGCTGGCAATGGCTCTGCTTAGAAAGCAGGCTTCCCTGCTGCTCCCTCCCTCCAGGAGGGACTGCGTCCTGGGGTGCCATCTGGTGGCCATTGGGCATATGACAGTCCACACTGCCATCAAATCCGCCCCCAGGAGCCAAGGTTAGCAGAGGGGCTTTAAAGATGAGGACAGGACGCAGAGAATACAGGGCCCGCCTGGGATTAAGAAACACCTCATTAACTGTCAGACATTGGTCCTCTGCAGGGTCATCACAGGCTCCCGCACAAATGCAGACATGAGCCTGGGAATCACATGGACGTAGTCAGAATAATGGCTCCAGATAATCCAAAATATGTTTATTCCTGGGTTTAATAGATTTTTCTTTTGAAAAATTAATAAGCCAGCTGTAAAAGGCTCCGCAGCGAGAACCCGCATGGAATACCGCTGTGAGTCTCGGACCCCGACGTTATGCCCACGCTCTGCTTTAACAGCCATTAATTGAAAAACTCGGTAATAACAAAAAGCTAGATTAACTCAGGAATGCTTTGAATTGGTATTTTGTAAAAATGTCATCTACTTATATTTGGATATGCCTTTAATACTCATTCGTTCTCTAGACAATTTTTTTTTAAGTTTTTTCTTCCCCCCACAGGGAGCATGTACTTGCCATAGAGAGACAGGGAGAGGAAAAGTGAGAAAGCACCCCCCCAGGGGGGTGGCCATGCTGCAATCCCTTCTCCTCCCATTATCCCCCTGGGATTTGGGGCTCTCATATACGTGCGCGGCACGATTTTCCAGCCGCCAGGTTTGGGACTTGAACCGCAGTTGGCCATGTGAGCATCCAGCGCCTTAACCACCACCCCACCTGCTGGTCCCTCCAGACAATTCTCAATGAACAAAGAGAGTCAGAAATCCCTTGCAATGTATCTGCAGACTCACTGCCTAGGGTCCCCCACCCCGACTCAGCAACATGCCAGCAGGAAACTCCTGATTCAGGTTACTGGGGGGTCCTCGCCTATGAGTGAACCTCACTGTGTAGGGCAATCTTTCCTAGAGGAGGGGAGGGCAGAATCGCTCTCTCATCCCTCAGACAGGCAAAGTCTATGCCCAAGTCTATGCCCTATCTCCCACCCCAGCCCATCTTCCTTGGACTGTGGGGTGGGGGGTGCTTCCCACCTGCTTTAGGTAAATCTCAGGGGCGGGGTGGGTCCCAGACCTCAGCACTTTGCAAGAGCCCCTCAGGGAGCAAGCTGGTTAAGGGAACTAGATCCCACGTGGCCAACGGTGTAGTTTTAATCCTGGTTCCAGTGGCTTGAAAAACACCGTGTGTGTGTGTGTGTGCATGCGTGTGCCAAAATCCAGACAAGATGAAGACATGGAGAAAGGACTGCAGCATGCCATGCCCCACTGGGGGCTGCCTCCTCCTCCTTCTCTCTGTCTCTCTGTCTCACTCTGGCAAGCACACGCACGCTCTGGGAAAAACAACAACAAAAACTCCCCAGGTGATTCTAATATGTGGCCAGGATTGAAAACCCTGTTCTAGCCATAAAACTCAAGAGTATCCCTGAAGCAGACGACTAAAAAGGATTTGAACGACCAAATCAGCTTAAGTGGGGACCACTCCCTCCTGAGTTGCTTATTCTCAGAATAAGCCAGGGCCAGGGCTGAAGGCCTAGGGAGAACCCTTTAGAAAAATTCTAGAAGAAAACACTTCTGTCTGGTGTCTGAGCCCAGATCTAGTCCAATCTGAACAATCCACTTTAGAATTCATATTAGTAAATATTTTTACTTTTTAGTAGACAACCATCCATTTTATTTTAGGGGTAAAACTGAGAAAATGGAAATAAACAAAAATAAAATAATAATAATAATAATAATGTGGAGAGAAGTAGCATGATCTGTTCTCCCTAGTGACTTAGCAATAATATTTGGGTGCTATTTTTAAAAATTAGAAACACACTGCTTCTTAATCTGCCTTTTCCCTTAAAAATCTTTTCTTGACTCTCTTCTCATGCTAATAAATGTTATCCTTTTTTCCCCCATAAACTCAGTTATATTTATAAATTTAAAAATAACTAGTTAATTAAGTTTTAAAATACTAAAAACATTGAAACGAGAATGAAGGGGGAAGCGTCAGGTACTTAATTATTCAGCAGTGCGTGTGCGAATGTGGTGTAAAGTCTGTTACCAATTCCCTACTGGAGGGCATTTGAATTATTTTTACGTTTTTGCTAATATTAAGAAATACCATTTTGAATGTCCTTGGAGATCAATATTTTTGCACATCTTTGATTTCTTGAGGACTATGTATTATGATTTAAAGCTAAAAGAACCCTGGGGCCAGCAGATGGCATGGTGGTTGAGGTGCTGGACACTCTCGTAAGGCTGACCACAGTTCGAGTCCTGGACCTGGTGGCTTGCATCCTCACTTTCCCCCTCTCTGTCTCTGTCTCTCTCTAGTCAAATTAAAATGAATGAATGAATAAATAAAATTAAATAAATAATTCTTTAAAAAAAAAAAAAAGCTAAGAGAACCCTGAAAACCATTTATTAAAATTGTTTAAAAGCCAGTTGTGGAATCAGCAGTTAGCATAATGGCTATGTGGCTGGACTCCCATGTAGTCGACCATGGTTCGAGTCCTGGACCTGATGACTTAAATTCACACTGGGTGCATGTGCATGCGTGCCCAAGATCCCGGGAAGAGAATGGAGGAGATGGGATTGCGGCATAGCCATCCCCCCTGGGAGGTGATTTCTCGCTTTCTGTCTCTCTGTCTCTCTGTCTTTCTGGAGAGCGCACACACCCTATAACAAAAACCTCTCCAAAAAAAAATTATATATATATATATATATAGAGAGAGAGAGAGAGAGAAAGCCAGTTGTATAATTGCAGATTATTTGGAAAATTTCTATCCTAAGTTAAATTGGCTTTTTTTTTCTTAATGTCTTACTATGGAAAATGATAGTAAGTATATAGTCTATTCTTTATATCTGCAAGTTACACATCTAGGTATGTAGCCAACCTCAGATTTCATTTCCTTGGATCTAATTTATATAAATAAAGAGGCCCACGGTGAGGATTTGAGCATCCACAGGTTTGGGTATCCTGTGGAAGGGATAGCAGGTCCTGAAACCAGTCCCCTACAGATACTGAGAGAGGACTGGATTTAGTTTAGTAAGAAACTACCAAACTGTCTTCCAAAGTGGCCATAGCATTTACATTCCCACCAGCTGTGAGTAAGCATTCCCGTTGCTCCACATCCTCACCAGCATCTGATGTTGTCAGTGTCCTGATTTTGGCCGCTGTAATAAGCGTGTAGAGACATCTCGCTGTTTGGATTTGCTTTTCCCAGATGAAAGATGGTGTGTGAAGCATCTGTTCATGTGCTTATCTGCCTTCTGTGTATCTTCTTTGGTGAGGCTCTGTCAAGGAGTTTGGCACATTTTTTCAGTTGTGTTACTCGCTTTCTTATCATTGAATGTCCAGAGTTCTCTAACTATATTTTGGATCACAATCTTTTGTCAGTTGTATCTTTTGGAATCATCTTCTCCCGGTCTGTGGCTGCTCTTTTTATTTTCTTGACAATCTCTGTCAAAGAACAGATTTTTAAAATTTTAATGAAGTCCAGCTTATCAATTCTTTCTTTCACAGATGTGCTTTTGGTGTCGTATCTGAAAAGTCATCGCCAAATCCTAGGTCTTCTAGATTTTCTCCTATATTATCTTTGAGGAATTGAATAATTTAGCATTTTATGTTTAGGTCTGTGGTCCACTTTGAGTTAATTTGTGTGAAGGGTATAAAGTCTGTGTCTAGACTGATTTTTTGGTGGTCCCAGCACCACTTTTTATCCTTTTTGATTTCTGTCTTTCCTTTTGTTTTCATTTTTGTTCTTTTTACAGAATTGATTTGTTGGAAAAAACAGGCTGAAGAGGTAGAGATGACAAAACCATTTCTGTAAAGGGGCCAGAGAGCAAGTACTTGAGGCTTTGAGAGGCTACAGTCTTCCTCACCATTACTCAACTCCGTATTTGTAGTACAAAGTGGCCATAGACACTGTGTAAACAAATAGGCATTTCTATCTCCCAATAAAACTTTACTTAAGGGCTAGGAAATGGCACAGTAGAAGTGCACCTGGACCTACATGGGAAAGAGCCTTGGTTCGAGTCCAGAGGCCTCCCTGAGAATACCAGTACACATGCACCATAACCCAGAGTGCATGATCTTACAGCAGCCTCTTGAAGTGGAGGTATTTCCTCGTGGTGCTCATGAGGCAACAGAGGCACAGCAAGGTTCAATGAACTTACCCAAGATCTCAAAGCACGTGGGCGGCAGAGGCAGCACCGGCCTGGAGTCCGAGTCGGACTGCAGAGCCGTAGCCCGGCATGCTCCCCGTCGGTGGGAGACAAGGCCGGAGGACTACACTCGAATGTGTATCATGATTCTCCTTATTGGAGCGCTTTTGCGATTTCTTCTCCTTTTTCATTTTCTTTTTCTTATCTGTACTTTCTATTTTCCTGGGTGGTTTGTGTTTGTTTTTGTTTTTAATGTAAGTTAACAATGTTACTGCCTCGCTCTCCCTGGTGATCTTTCATTCTCTACACCCAGATAGTCCCAGGACCCTGTGACGCAGGCCTCCCACCCTGTCCCCAGTTGACTAGTTACCCACAGGGTACCTCGGTCACCTCCTTGCCCTGTGCTGAGAATCCAGGGCAGCCTCCCCGGGGGACGGCACGACGTCCTGCACACCAGCGCTGGCGCTCAGAGGCTGTTGCCGACGGTGATGACGCTACATTTCCTCAAGCACAATGCCAGAGAACACACTTCTCACTGTCAGGCTCCGATGCATGTGTGATTTCTCCAGGCCCTCTTTGTACTCACTGACCACACCTGAAGTGATTTTTTGGACACCGAGGCCAATTTGTCTTTGTGATGCATCGACCTAATGATTCCCCTCCATGAAATTAATTCCAAGCTGGTGTGGGCGAAAGTGCCTTCTCTTCCAGCTCTGTCCTTCCGCCTCCTCAGAGGATTCCCTCTTGCTGGCCTTCGGTACTGGCTCTTTCACGATGGCTTTTGGCCAGAAGTAACGACAGGCGTTGACCCAACCTGAACTGAAGGTGTAAATGACCAATAATGACTTAGTGTGCCAACTCCTGGCAGGCGCTGGCCTTCCTCAGTCCTCCTCCCCAGTTCCGTTCCCTTCCCAGCCAGGAGGCCGGAGGACCACGGTGGCCTGGACTTGGCCTGGGAAACCCACCTCTGGGGCTTCCCCTTTGGGCTGAGCTCACCCCCCAGGAACCTCCCCCCTCTGTTTACTTAAGGGTGCTTCTCATGCTTAGGTATGTCTGGGAGAAGGACGGGGCCACCCTGGGCGTGGACAGCAACCCCCGCATCCGCCTGGACAAGAACGGCTCCCTGCACATCTCACAGACGTGGTCGGGGGACATCGGCACGTACACCTGCCGGGTGCTCTCTGCTGGAGGCAATGACTCCCGCAGTGCCCACCTGCGGGTCAGGTAAGGGCGGCCCTCCATGTTTCTGCCACCACTCATTCCTTCTAACTCACCTGGTCCAGGTCTTCCTGGCCACAGTGCAATAGCAAAAGGACACCTCTAGGCCTTCCTCTCGGCTCAGTTAGGCTTCCCACCCGGTTCAGGGAAGCTCCGAGCATGGCTGGAGGCAGGTGGGCCCAATTCCAAGGTGACTCTCCAGGCAGGACCCAGGGCCAGGTTCATGTCAGAGAGCCAGGTGTCGTGGAAGCACACGCCCATCCCCCAGTCCTGTCCCTGGGCTGCAGATGGTGCAGAGCCCAGCACACCTTTCTCTCCTCCAGGCAACTGCCCCACGCCCCCGAGCACCCCGTGGCGACCCTCAGCACCACAGAGAGGCGGGCCATCAACCTGACGTGGGCCAAGCCCTTCGACGGCAACAGTCCGCTCATCCGCTACATCCTGGAGATGTCAGAGAACAGTAAGGTTCCTGCAGTCACCCTCCTGCACTCACCACAGCCCGGCGCGGGGCAGCCTGGGCTGAGTCCCGGCTCCTCAGTCCTGCTTCTGGGTCTTTGGGCAGCCTCTCTTCCTGGCGTGTAGGAGGGACAGTGGCCTCTGCCATCGGGTCATGTGCAGCTGGGTGGCTAATGCATGAGAGATGCTTAACTCAGGGCAGGGCGCAGCAGCAGTTCCAGAAGCGGCTCTTATTTTTATTTTTATTTTTATTCTCCGAGTCCCCACGCTGCAGACTGCAGACTTCACAGGCGGAATCCAAATGGTGTTATCAGTATGTTTTACCTGGGGCACATCAATATGGGGGGGAGATGATGAAGGCTCTGTCTCGGCGAGCTTGGTCCCCAGCTCCCTCCAAGCCCCCGAGGTCCTGGGCCAATAGGACCCAGAAAAGTGCCATGTGGACCCTACGGGGCCAAACAGGCATTCACTCTTCTGCCAGCCGGACGAGGCTGCAAGGCGTCACAACTGCCCCACCTCTGTCCCTGCAGATGCCCCCTGGACCGTGCTCCTGGCCAGCGTGGACCCTGAAGCTACCTCGGTGATGGTCAAGGGCTTGGTCCCCGCACGCTCCTACCAGTTCCGTCTCTGTGCCGTCAACGACGTGGGGAAGGGCCAGTTCAGCAAGGACACGGAGAGGTGGGGGCGCAGGCGTGTGTCCTGCACGTCACGGACACACCAGCTCGGGCGCCGCAGGCCTCAGGGGCTGCCTCAAACGGCCAGCAGGGCAGGGGGGGTCAGGCTGCCGGGCAAGGCCCAGCTGCGGTCTCTGTCCCTCGGCTGCGGCCTCTGCCTCTGTGGACTGGGGGTGGCAGTTCCCACGCCCGCCTCTCAGGGACAGTGTGGAGATTCCACGCGTGATGCAAACGGGACACCGTGCACAGCGCGCGCGGCTCGGGCTGGCACTGCTGCGACTCGGCCTCCCGACAGCGGTGAGCTGTGCCAGTTCAGCGGCGTCCTTCCTTCTGCCCTCCACACCTGGGGCTGTTACCATTCCCGAGGGGGGCAGGCGTCCACGCACGGCCCCATCCATGGCTTTGGTGATGCCTGGCCGTTAGGGTTCCAGCAGAGCTTCCTTTAAATGATGGAAATTGAATACGAATGCGGCAGGGACCAGCAGATGGTCTAATGGTTATGTCACTGGACTTCCACATGGTCAACCACGGTTTGATTCCCACACCTGATGGCTTGAAACTTATGCCAGGTGCATGTGCATGCATGCCCAAAATCCCTACAGGAGAATGGAGGAGAAGGGACTGCAGTGTGGCCATCCCCCCGGGGGTGATTTCTCACTTTCTCTCTCTCTCTCTCTCTCTCTCGCTCTCGCTCTCGCTCTCACTCTCTCTCTCTCTCTCTCTGTCTCTTTGGCCAT